CTTCAACGCCAAATCAAAATCAAACTAGCATCAACACAAAAATTAACCATTTGATCGTGAATCTTTCTAAGAACAAATCCGAAACAGTTCTATCAGCAATCCTAACAAATTCAAAAGGCATCCTAAACAGTTCTATCGGAAATTGACGCACTGTAAGCGGCAATCATTACAAATTCAAAAGGCATCAAAACAATCGCGCTAAATTACTCACCGCTGAATACGCGATCGAGATCAAACTAGAAGATTCGCCATAAAAATGTACATGTAGTTGGAGAATGGATTGGTAGCGGTGTTAGAAATTGACGTTGCTCTTCCTTATTAACGGAATGGGTCCGCATATTTTTTTGCTATGGAGTAGTATTAAAATTTACCGAGTAAAAAATAGGATGAAAATTGATTTTTCATTTTCTACTTTTAGATACTCCCTTCGTCCCCAGTTTTTGTTCACTTTTGACTTTTGGAATTGTTCATCTAAGCATTTTGACTCATCAAATTCTCTCAATGTGTAAGCCTAAATATAGTCATGTGTGATCTTGTTTGATTTGTCTTAACATATAGATTATTAATATATAATTTCTATAATTTTTTAATATACAAATTACAAGATAAAATAGATTAAAGAAGTGCATTGGATGGTGTACAAAAATGAAAGTGGACAAAAACTGAGGGACGGAGGGAGTATTACCTTAAATAAGATTAAAATATAGAAAAGGTACTAAAATATGATTTTTGTATTTTTATTCTCGAAATAAAAGTTCGCACTGTGGTAATGTGGAGGTATGTAAATGCATTTTAACTTCTATTTTGAGAATAAAAATATGGAAGTCCTATTTTGATATATTTTTAATATTTTATTCCTACTTTAATCTTTTTCTCTTCGACCTAACCCTCCCAGTAAAATCCCTTACCGGCTTACCCCGTCCCTACTCGAACCGACTCCCCCACCTCCTCTAATTACACTCCACAAAATTTAGTTGATTTTGAAGTTAAAATTTGACTTCAAAGCCAACTAAATTTTGTGGGATGCATTGGAGGGGATAGGAGAGTCAGTTCGAGCCGAGCGAAAGTAAGGGATTTATCAAAAGGGGTTAAGGGTGATAGTAATCATCAATTTTCGAATGGAGCATCTCATGTGCTCCAAGCAATACTAATGCCATAGGATGACATGTGAAACTAATATCACCCGAACCACCCCATAAGAAAAATGAATTATCCCATATTTATTTAATGGTAATATAAAAAGGTGATCCACACTTGGGAAAAAAGAATATGTTGAGGACTAGAGGCTATGTTTGAGACTTTGAGTGTTTGACTATTAAATTTGGGAAAAGAATCCAATCCTTTTTTCTCATATTAAAATACTTAGAATATGATATACCACCTCATAATTCTGTTAGACCGGAGTGTGGGGCGTCTGGAGTGGGTGTTCCACCTTAATTTAAAATACATGAATGGATATATTTGATCTTGAACCAAAGTCTTATTATTCTAGGCTATGTGGTATATTTTTAACACTTGTTTTAATTAAAATAATTAAACTAAAAATAATAAAAATTTACTAAATTAATATTTAATTTGAGCATTTCAGTAAATTTAAAATAAGAAATACAAATAATAGTGTGTCTAAAAAATACAAAGTTAAAAGTGTGTAAAATAATACTCCGTACATAATAAAAATAAATATAATAGTAAAAAATCTAAACATCTTTGCTTGAGCCATTACCCGCCGGGCCTCCAAGCCACCTCCTAGATATTTTATCTTTCATCCTCATCACCACCACACGCTCCGTTGGACCAAGATTATCAACGGCGGTGGTCAAGATTTTGAATGCAAGCTCTTCTTGCTCTAGGCGTTGGTGTTTGAGTACAAGCTGCCCTGCTTTTTCTTTGCACTTTTGGTCAAGTCTTTACGCTCTCGTTTTATGTTTTCCCTTCCCTTTTAATTTTTTAGAGGTTGTGTATCGGGCTCAACCTCATTGATATCGTGATCAATATCAAAAGGGACATCGTTTGTGGGAGAAGTCGCATGCGGTGGCGGCGTGCCTGTAGCACCCTGAAAACCGGATTAGTAGTTAGCCATTATTTTAAGAAAAAATATATATAATATATTTTCTGGCTTGAAAATATAGACTACTTATAAAATAAACATTTTTATTTAAAATTTGACTCATTGCATAGATCTCGTGAAAAGGTGGCCAACATTATATAGTTTGTTAAGTTTGAACTTACGTGTAAAAAGTTATGTACGAAATAAATGTTACAGTTGAATAAATAAATATAAAAATTTTACAATTGAAATTTGACTCATTGAGTATTATTATTATCATTATACGGGTACTGCAATACAGAGCATTGACGCTATGCAAGATAGAGATCGAGGCACTTGGATGTTTGACACTACAAAGCCGGCAACATTGTCCACCAATTTCTTCGTCGTAGTTAATTTTCGTCTAATAATCGAGGTAATTTCGTGAATTTGTTCCCGAGTAGAATTCATAGATAGCGTTAATTTGTATACATATCTAATCGTAGATTCATTTATGTGAATCTTGATTATTATTTTGTGATTATGATTTTATCAAATTGGTTTACTGAAGAAGTGGTCATGTATATATGTTCTCCTACTATAATTTATGTGGTTTGTGTGTTAATAGATAGTCTCTATATATAAACATTTTATATTGGTTGTGGTTAGGATTGGAACCGTACTATAGTTCTTGAATTGTAGAGTTTTCCGATGGGGGGCGGTAGGTCCCTACCGACCGGCGGTAGTCAACATCCTACCAAACGTTACCGGGGTAATAACAACAACAACATTATTATTATCATAATTATTATTCTTATTCTTATAATTACCAGATATCTAATATTACACCTTTTACTACAATTACTTTATACTCCCTCCGTCCTAAAATTAACTTCCCACTTTGACTTTTGCAGTCAAATTTTTTAAACTTTGACCGTAGATTAAGGAAAAAATACATAGAATTTTCATATAAATTTATTAGCAATAGATTCATTTTGGAATAAAGTTTTGAAATATATAATTTTTATAAAATATATTTATATAAAAATTGAGATATTGATGGTCAAAGTGTCGCATTGGAGACCGTGAAAAGTCAAATGAGAAGTTAATTTTAGGACGGAGGGAGTACTTGACAGTTGAGATGCAAATTCCAAGTGAGCCTCTATTTAGTCAAGACCACCAAGAAACTCGCAAAGAAATGCCACATACCATCATGTTTTGAACATGCAAGAGAATTTAGGTTCATCGTCACATACTCGCATTATGAGTGATAATGACCATGGTCTATTTGATATTCTCATGTTCTCAGGTGAAGGCTTCCCATTGGTTGAGGATTTAAATCTACATCATTGTTAGTCACGAAGCCTTTTTTGACTCGCTTATATATTATCTGTTTTAAATTCATTAAAGTTAATACTCTATATAAATGATGGCAATTACTTTGTCATGCGCACTAGCTACATTATAAATTTAACACTCCATAGATACTTTAGAAATTTCTACAACAACAACGATTATGTGTAATGGTGAATTTTTTGGTGAACACCCCTTTACATGCTTTTTACTTTATTTATCACCTCATTAGTTGTCAATGCCTCAACATTTTAATTATGACAATTATTATTTGTAAAGTTCTGAGTTGTCAAGGAGGCAACGTGTACATGTGATCATTGTGAAGCATATTTTTGGTATGTCGAGCGGTTGTATAGCAGTCGTAAAAAAAATAGTCCCATATGTGGAGCATGTTGTGACAGGGGTAAGGTCGAACTATCAAAGCTCCTAACTCCGCCCCAAAAGTTGTTTAACATTTACTTTGGGAATGACAAGAAAAGCAAACATTTCACATAAAATATCTGCATCTACAATAATATATTTTCTTTCACTTAGATGAGCGGTGATGTTGACTATGGTGTGAATAGTGGTACTGCACTGCCAATATTCAAACTATATGATCAAAATCATCACAGAATTAGTACGTTGCTATCTCCTGGATGAAAAAGGCATTGGTTTACACAATTGTATATCTATGACCCTTTGAAGATAAGCTAGATTTTGAGACCATCAATATTGTATATAAAGAAGTTTTTTAAAATATTTGAAAAATACAAAATATTACAGAGTACATAATACATAATTGAGAGTTAATTTTTAGTAAAGATAATGGTTGATTATGTTTACATATGATTAGATATTGGAATGAATCACAAGAACCTACCATATCCATCTATATCCCAATTGTTATTGATTACCAATGGAAAAATCTTATCAAATTTATTTTCAAAACTGTGTGCATTATTTATTAAATTTAAAGATTAATAAATAATATATTTACATACGTAGGCATATATGTTATCTATATTCAATGATATCTTATATATCTTATACTATGAAGTATGAAATATATTTCTTTATATTCTTTATTTTAAAATTTAAAAATAATTTTTATTTTTTATTTATCTAATATTATAGAAAAATACTAGTATTCACAAAAAATAAAACTAAAGTTCAAAGAAATGGATGGAAAATGTGTGAAATGTAGAGTGATGTGTTTAAATAGTGAAATTTTTTAAATTTTAATCTAGTTTACTAACCCCGTCTCAGAGTATTTGTCTAGTTGTGAAATTTTTTAGTCAACCATTTTTAACATTTAATATATAATTAAATAAAATATATTATATAATATTTGTATAAAATAATATTTTGAAAATGTTTTATAATAAATCTAATAAAATTATTTTTGTATCAATATCTAATATCACTTTTATTTAATTAAGGATCAAAATTTACTAATCTGACCAAAAAAATAAAAAAATGGACAAATACTAAAGGACGCAAAGATTATTTTTCAACAGTTATATTAGAAAAAAATAAAATGTTTCAAAATTTGACCAACTGGGCACTGTAAGGGCCCCAATTACTTTTTAATATGAGTATATGTTTATAAATAAGAAACCCAGCACCCAGCCCAATATCTCAAAAGCCCATCTCATTAGCCGCCCCATCCCTTCCTTCGTAGACGACTAACGCAAAAGCGCAGAAGCTAGAGACGAAGCCTACTGCCGAATCCGAATCGGAAGGAGAGTGCCGACTGCTGAGAACGCGGCCGGTAGAGAGACGCCGCAGCTGCCGCCAGACGCCGCTTCACCCTCCAGGTATTCCGCATTCACTATCTTTCCAATTTAGTACGGAGTAATTTTTTTCTAATTTTCTCTCTTTCATTGTCTCATTCTTTGGATTTAAAATCTAGGGTTAATTATTAATTTTTAGTTTTAAATCTTTGCTAATTGATATGAAATATGAATGAATTAATAGTTCCATATATTCTTGATTTGATTTGGATGAATTGATTTGAATTTATGATATATATTAAAAAACTGAAAACTGAAAAACTAAAAAAAACTGAAAAATTGACAAATTGACATGAATTTAAGATATATATAAAAAGACTGAAAACTGAAAAAGAAAAAAACTGAAAAAATGACGAATTGAATCAATTGATATGAGTTTATGATATAGTATGAATTTATTTGCTTGCTTTTCCATATTTGATTTTACTAAGTAGTAAAATTTATGAATTTGAATTTTATTTCAGAAATAATTCAATGGCTATGGGTCCTAAACATCTATCCTGTAGTCAAAAACGTAAATAGAGAAAACGAGATGAAGATCGAGAAAGTCTCAATCCGGATAAGAAACGCTTTGGTCATTTATTTATTTTCTTCTAATAATATTACTTTAATTATCATTTATATATAATTAGTTTACATATGTTAATTTGTTAGACTTTATATTTAGGGTCTTTTTTTAATCTCGGCCCAAGCCGTTGAATGATCAGGACTGGCCCTGGGATTCAACACCATAATTGTTGGAAATATCTCATGAGTATACATGATAATGTGGAGCATTTAGAATATACGAGAGTAGGTGAAAAGGGAGACCGTCTATACAAATTGTATAAATGCCTTCAAATTAAATTATTTCATTGGTATACACGAGAGAGACTATTCGAATTTCTAGCCATTCAAAATTAGGGTTATACTGAATATCCTAAAATCTTTCAACTACAATATTCTTTTATATTAGTCAATAGCATTCAAAAAAAAAAATTGAATTAGTGTAAGATTGTTATACCAATTCAATTGGGGTACTTATGTTGCTTCGATCGTAAAATTGATTCTTCTTACCTCCTCAAACCCCATGGTAAACTCTCATATTCGGCCAGCCCCATGCGCATCTTTGCACCCCTTCCAATTGAACCGTCCAAATTTTAAGTCAAATAGTTGACCATAAAATCAACAAAAAATTGGGATTGAAGGGGGTGCGGGAGTACATTATGGACAAGACACATCCCAATTGGGAAACTTGATACTCCATAAATCCCAAAACATTACTAGGAGTCAACCTAAGTGACAATGTGGCAACCTATATATAAAATATTAAATACTCTGTATATAAATAAATAAATAATAAATAATTTATAAATTATATAACAAATAGTCAAAGTGTCGAACATTAATAAGTACCAAAATACCAAGCCAAAAGTTTAAACATAATGTGAGGTGATTAGATAAATATCCACCAAGAGCAGTTGAAAGCACCAAAAAAATAACAAAACAAAATAGACTGAAAGATTGTAGAACAGAACATTACGTTGTGTTTGGTTTGAGGTAGATAGGTGGAGGCAGGGTGAGGTTAATTTTACACCCTACCTCGTTTGGGAAGAAAAAATAAGTTAGGGTGGGGTAGGTACCTTACCTCCTTACAGTACCAAAATCGTGTCCGCGGCGAAACACCTAGGTTACCTAGGTATTACTTCATTTTCCCCTGCTGCCCTTCCGCAAGCGACTCTTGCCCAATTGAGATCTGACTTAATCCAAATTTTATAGCGAGTAGGATCTCAACTTAGTCAGGTCAAGATTCAGGATCATCTTTGGCATCTAATCATGATAGGGACATGATCAGGTTTTTTTGGTATTTGGGATTGGGATTATCTCACCCCTAATTATAACATATTGTCAGAAAGGGCATCCATGAATTTCTTGTGTTGTTAAATTAAACAAGACATGCACATTGTAAAGGGCCATAGTTTTTTTCACAATTTTATTAATTGTAGGGGATGTTTGAGATATTGTAAACTAAATAAAATAAACGAGACAATTGCAGCCTGCTGCCTTGCTATTGTAGTGCAGTTTTTTTCCCTCTCTAAGGTCCCTCTACATTTTCCTTTCCGTCTTTGATGGTCGCTGCTTTGCCTCCCACTTGACAGCCCTAAATGATGGCCTATGCACAAATTGGTAGAAATGTCATCCGCCAGCAGTTGTCTGCATCGGAGAGAGGGATCCAGCATCCACTGTTCTATGCCGTTCAGGGTGTCCGTCATAGGAAATTGGAAGTCATTCTCACCAATGTGAGTTTCTTGTTGGTGTTTTTTGATAAAATCCAACAGTTCTAGAGACACTTTATTTTAGGTTAAATTCATAATTTGTTTCATCATGTATTAGAGCATTGACAAGCTTGGAAAAGCCGGTGATACGGTGAAAGTTGCACCAGGGTTCTTCCGGAACCATCTGATGCCAAAACTGCTTGCTGTCCCAAACATTGACAAGTATAGGTATCTTCTCAAAGATCAGAGCAAGGTTTGTGAACCATCAAAAAAATGGTTTCCTTTTCTTATTTACATGCATCTTCTTTGTGCAATTTGCTCTTGCGTGTTTCACATTTCTATTATAATTATTCTATGGATTAAGGAAGTTGTATGACCGCAGTGTGCTTTTTGGAAGTCATGTATTTTAACTATTTTCTTGGTCCCTGTCCACTTTTTTGTTTAAGATTATCCGGAACAAGCTTTTCATTTTCTATATCAAATAAAGATATTTGTCTCGAATATCCTAAAGATAAGATATGATTATTGTTTACATGAATGAGTGACAAACTCATTTGCAGGATTTATTTGACATTTAAACTCATTTTTTAAAAATGATTTTTTTTAAAGAAATTGGACAACTAAATCCAGACAGGAGTATTATATTTCAGATGCTTTCTATATATTTTTTTTTGAAGATTTCATCCAATTGCAGGCCCAACTGAATGAAAATGAATATATGACTTCATATATGCGAAGTAGTATGTCTTGTTTCTTCCTATAATAAATAGAATGCATGGTTACTCTCAATTTTTTTTCCAGTCTGTGTGGCATGTAGTGTTACCCTAATTTCTGGTGTGCTTACTCTTAATACTTAAAACATGATATCTTATCATCTTTGATAGATTTACCAACCAAAAGAAGATGCAGAAGTTAAAGTTGTTTCACAAACCAATGAAGACAAGATGAAAGAATACCAGACAGCAGCCAATCGCCTCGATAGAACTATGGTGGTGGGTAACTTCTTGCCAAATGCCGATTTTTTTTCTTTACGATGAAATGCCCAGGCTTTGTGTCTTTTGTGGATGATGGTTATACATTATACTCTGTTGTGCAATTTAGGATTTGTTTGGACGGGGGATATTGATGGACTTAGTCTACATCTTGAAATGTATTAATTTTTTTAACAATTGGAAGATCAACATAATGTGTGTTCGTATAACAATTCAATTACTTCTAATTCATTTTTACAAAAAAATCATCAAGATATAGACTAAGCCATCCTAAGCCATTCCCTTGAACTCCTCTTAAACACTTCATCTGGACACTTCAATCTTAGAAACACTACGGGCAATGAACACTAACTACGGAGCACTTGTTTCCCATCCATTACATTAATTTTTTTCTTTAATCCAACTCGCTTCTGTTTTAGGTTTTGAGGAAGTTCATCAAAGTTGACAATGAAATACGAGAACCCGTGACGAAAGAAGAAATTATTGCTGAGGTAAGATTCTTTTGGTACAGATGTTTTGTTCTGTTTTGCTCTTTTCCCGCCCTCTCCATTAAGAGAAACATGTCTTTCTTTCGTACCATTGCACAATGCAATTGTCTTCTGCTTTTTTCTATACCTTTATGGTTTTTTCTATTGTGATCCACTTGTGCTCTATACTCCCTCTGCTCTGCAATGGTGCTTACACTACTTTCTTCGTCTGACCCAAAATAAAGATAAACTTTACACTTCGAATTTTCTATTTATGAAAGGAATATGTAGCTCAAATTGTTTATATCTTCTAAACAAATTTTACTCACTTTTCATTTTTCAACACTTAAACTTTGTGAAGTCAAAACGTAAACTTCATTGTGGGATGGAGGGGGCAGTAGATAAAGACGAAAGTGTACAATTCTCCTCGAGTTCCATAAAAAAGGTTCCAAGTTTGACCCAAGAGAATTCTGTCTATAAAAGGAAACTGAAAGCTGGAGTCTTATATTCAGACCTTGTGAACAAAGAAATGCTGTCTCGTAAATGTCTTTTCCGCCCTTGAACAGGTTGCAAGACAGCTTTCAGTGAGCATAGAACCTGAAAATGTGCATTTGCCGTCTCCCCTGTCCTCTTTGGGTGAGTTTGAAGTGCCACTACGGCTTCCAAGGTCCATCCCTTTGCCTGAGGGGAAGCTTCAATGGGCTCTCAAAGTCAAAATCAGGAGAAAATGAATCAATGGACTCTGCAACTCATCAAACACTTCGCCAGGAGATCGATTTTTTACTTTCGTCGAGAATGCAAAAGTAAGCTGGCTCTAGATGAAGGGCCATGAGAGATGGACCAAGTAGTCTAGTCTTGGTTACTACTGTATTGAATTGCTGGTTACATCTGTATTGCTGATTGGTTCTTGACTTGATGGTTGAACATATTGATGTAACAAGTACTCATTGCTCAAGGCCTAATCAATAAAGCGTTTGTTCTCTTCAACTTATTATGAACTACTACCTCCGTTCCAGAGTATTCGTCCACTTTCATTTTTGCACACCATCCAATGCACTTCTTTAATCCATTTTTTGTAATTTGTATATTAAAAAATTATAAAAATTATATATTAATAAACTATATGTTAAGACAAATCAAACAAGATCACACATGACTATATTTAGGCTTACACATTGAGAGAATTTGATGAGTCAAAGTGCTTTGGGGTGTGATGGAATAAATCAAAATGGATCTCTAAACTATCCGCGCTTCTTTAATTAATGAAATAGCTGTTAGTCAAGCAATGCAACTTTCGACTTTGAGCCGGGGGTCTCTTTGGAAACAGCCTCTCTACTTTCGAGTAGGGGCAAGGTCTGCGTACACACACACCCTCCCAGACCCTACTCTTGTGGGATTTAACTGGGTTGTTGTTGTTGTTGTTGTTGTTGTTGTAAAGTGCTTAAATGAACAGTTCTAAAAGTCAAAAGTGGACAAAGAGAGTGGGACGGAGGGAGTATATTCTAATAAAGTATTCCATTGCAGGCAAACATATTAGTGTATTGCTCTATTGAACTAAATTACTAAAATTTGATCAAACTAGTGTAATAAAAGAATTATAAAATATGCACTTCGTAATTTCCAATAATTATATATTGTGAAATTTAAATTTCATTTGACACGTGCGCATAGATGTTACTTAGATATCGTAAAAATATTACGTATGTTAATGAAATTAAACTCAATCTCGACACATCATTTCAACTATAATATTTGAATATTCATTTAAGATTCGATAACTATTTGAATAACAATCAAGTATGAATATAAATTTCATTTAGAATTATTTTCATATTTGAAAAAAGTAATAAAATATAAATTAGAACATTTTGATACTCGATTTGATTTCATTTGATTCGTTCTTAACCCTAGTTACTTGGTGTTAATTTAAGCGCAATAAGGTCATTCTGATATAATGTTGATTTCCCACAAATACTCACCTTGTCCCTAAATAATTGCCATATTATACAAAACGAAGAGAAATTTTAAATATTTTCAATTCATTTTATTTAAAGATTGATATAGAATTAAAAAAAGTTACATTTTTAAAAACTAAGTTAAGAGTTCTTCAAAAAAGATGTGACAAGAACATTTTATTTTATCAAATACAGAGTAATTGATAAAAACATTCAAATAAATAAAAGTTTTTGTGATTTTTGAATAATGAACTGTCATTTTTTTGGGATGGATCGTATAATATTGTCAAATATTGATTCAAAAGGAAAAAAAACAAACCTAACACAAACGCATGTATTTTCTTTGTGAAATTCAATGGCCCTAACGCAGTATTACCCCACAAAAATGCTAGGAATTCAGCCGTGGTGATTTCATAGATGACAATCATCGGTAAACACATATAGTTATTGTTTGTGTAAATATAAATTTCACTCATTAGAGCAATAATGAATTTCTAGCCTGAGCAATAATGAATTTCTAGCCTGATCCATTACCCCTATACATATAATACTCTTATGTCAAATGAGCATAGAACCGACAGTAACCACCCACGGTCTAAAAATGTGCCCACGGGCCACAATGATTATGACTTAGGGCCTATTGTTTTTTCCTAGCAATTTTTACTGGCGATCTAAAGTCTACCATAGACTTATAGATGAGCAAAATAAATATTTTTTAAAACTTAGTTTTAAATACAAAAATTAAAAAAAAATTGGTGAGAAGATCCACAAAAATGATATGCATTTAAAATGCACCAAAACACTCTTTTTACTACTCAATAGTCACCTATCTTAATTACAAGAAAAAAATTATAAATTTTTAAAAAAAATCAATTTCGTCTTAAAATATTTTATGTCTATGGATTACAGTGTTTGTGTGGAATTATTTTCTTTTAAAAAAATTAGTGTAAAATTAAAAAAAATATTCCCTTCATCCCAAATTAAATTACTTGTTTACAATTCACAGAGTCAAAATTCATTCAATTTCTTTATTTTTGTTAGTTTGATAAAATAATATAGTCACGTCACCACTAATTTTGTAAATTTTTTATATAATTTTAAAACATGCAATTTTTATTTTTGAATTCTACTCCATTTTTCATATAAAATAATTTAAAAATAACTTCGATCAAACATCATACAGTTAGACAAATAAAATTGTACAGCATGTCACTGCCTCATCCCCCGCTCCACTTGGAGTGGACATGGATACTACATTCATGGGCAATGGGTGAGTATGACTTTAAAAATCATACTATCAAATGTTAGTAGGGCAGATGTAATTGTGATTCTAAACGTGTTGAGTATCCGTCGGGTAATTACCTGCCATATACCGCCCGAAATTTTATTACATTGTACTCCATAGTAACGTGCAATACAAATAGAGAGTAATTGAGATTTAAAGTTTGTTCAGTTTGATTCGAAAAAGTCAAATTGAACAAATATATTGAGACATGAGTGTATGTTGTTATGTACACCATCTAGTCCCAATTAACAGAACAGAGATTTCCGAAAACAAAACTGTGTGATTAAAGGGAGACAAATACGCAGTAATCAAATGCACTCTATAAACAGAATGATAAATTGAGAAGGGCAAAGATACGCAGGTCTTGAATCTCGGCGAATAAGCTTTAGTTTTACAAGATCAAATAGCATTGGAAATGGAACGACATAACCGTATAATTCTAAAGTGACCTGGTTTTACGCTCTTCACTGCATTATCAATCCCCCAAAGAAATGCTTCATCGTCGCACTTGGTCCCATCAGCTCGGGCTGCCCCCACGGATGGGATAGTCTCTGAAGGATAGATCCCTCTGTGCACAAAATAGACCCACAAAACACTTCATAAACCACCACCACTACTTACCTTACCACTATTTTTCAATGCATAAGTGTGAAGGGAGGAGGGAGGGAGTGTTTGGCCTTGCAAACTATTGTCTAGTGCTAAATCCCTTGTGTCATTTCGTGTTCTCTCTCTGAGAGTGCATATTGCACCAAAAACAATATTTCGGTGCGATTTGCACTCTTGCCACTCTTATACTCCTAAAAGTCACATCCAAACATAACCCAACCAGAAAGCACATACCTACTCAAGGATGAGATGACAAGTGTAGCTTTCACCTTGATGCCACTCTTCAGGCTAATGAAAGTAAGTTGCAGATCAAGTTCTTCATCTGCCCACATTAAGTTGGAAGTCAAAACTAATGTCCACATACAAAAACATCAACTATAATTGTGAAAGTTAACCAATTACCAAGTTGCTGCTTCAGAACAATTATATCATCATGTGACTTGTAATAAAACATTTCATTACAATAAGATTGATGTCATCCTTTGAAATATAACATTGGCTTAAACAATATTTAGATAAATACGGAGTAGTTGACAAAAATTTATTGAACAGAGGTTCTATTCCCCCCCCCCTTCTTCCAATTTTTTCATCGGTCCGGTTCTAGTGACACCGGAAAACGGTGCCACTGGGTTTTTGGGGCACTTCCGGTGCTCTGTTCGTAAAATTGACGGTTCCTACCCC